AGTTGGGCAACTTAGAAACTACCCATGATTAATAGAAAAAAAGATCTAACAGAATTGATCTATTATTTGGTTTACTCCCGGCTTGTCCCATATTCGTTCCTTGCATAAATAGCTCGTTCTAAATTGATTCTCAACTGGTCCCTTCTTCCATCTTCCTTCATAGTTAGTCAAAATTTATGTTTAATTCAAAATTTTTAGTTACAATTGACTTTAGTCAACATCCGCCAGTGATACTGTTTAGTGATCGTACAGTATTCGATCGTTTTTCTCTTTATTTTACTTGGCATTTTGTATGATGTTCAGTTTGGTAGTAAAGTGAGACCGGCCTGCGAAGACTCGGTTATTCAAAAAAATAATAGTATGCTATAATGCTGTCTGATTTTTCACCTGTAGTTTCATTACTATTAAATATTAATTATGTCAAAGTTTCATATTTTAGCTAAGCTACTTCACTAATAATAATTTAGGGAAGAATTAGAAAAACGGTCAATTGAGAATCAATTTAGAACAAGCCATATGTGTGGGAACGGCTTTAGAAAATAATTTGAGATAGAAGTTGGAGGTAATGGACAAATATGGGACTAACCGCAGAAGGGTGAAGGATCCCTAGAATTCTAATGAGTTACAATTGCATTTAGTTTCACTAGCAAAGCTGCGATCTTAAATGTGCAAAATTCGAAAAAGAATAGGAGAAGATACCAAAATCAGAAGGTCAGAAAAAAATCAGAAAAATGTTCAAATTTCAGAAACTTTTCCCTTTTTTTCAGAAGATCTGGCAACCCTGAATTTTATGTTACATAAAATGAATATCTGGAAAACTTCTAGTATTTCGGTTTTGAATTCCTTGTTTTTTCACTTTTTTTTCTGGTGTCTATTATTTTCTTTTCTTCTCTCACTGTTGTTTTTTGGATATTTGTCATATTTCCTCTTAGGACAGAAAACGTCACAAGCTTAAACAATGCAATATTTAAAAAAGTAGCTTGTTCTTAGAAAATTGTTTTTTTTACAATATGATTATGATGGTATACAATTCAATATGTAATTACAGAACAAATTTTAGTGAATAAGATTTTTACTAAGGAAAAAACTAGAATTGAGATGCTGTTGCGGAACGATATAAGGCATTATTAAATTGTTGTAATTGTTGTTGCCAATTGATTTGTTCATTGAGTGAATAACGAAATTGCCATGATTTTGAAACTGGTTCTCTATCAACAATAGTCATACTACAATAATTAACTTGACCTGCAAGATCATAAAGTTGTTCAGGTCTTGGTTGTCCATTCATTAAATGACGTGTGAGTACTTCAAGACTAGGTGCATGTGCAACAATTAAAATTGTACCACCTGTTTTTTTATGCAATTTAATTATTTTTTTCATTGTCTCTTTTGAACGGTCATAATATTCATATTCATCTTCTAATGTTGGAAGATTCTTCAAATGAGAACGATAATATGTATCAATATTATGACCCCCATTGATCAATTCTTGAAAAGACATAAAATTAATTGGTGATTGAGCGTACCAAGATGAACATTCAAATAGACCAAGTTCAAGTCGTATTGGAATGTGCACTGAATAATTAAAATAGATTTTAATAGAATAAACAAAAACATTACTTACTTTTTCTACCCATGCCTGCAAGAATCTGATCAGCTGTTTGAATACAACGAAAAGCAGGTGACGAATAACAAGCTACTACTGGTACATTTTGTCGACCAAGAACATTGCCAACATTCCATGATTGTTGTAAACCATTAAGAGTCAATGGTGTATCTATCTCATAATCTAGCCAATTTACTCGAAAAGGTAATGCTGATGGCATATTTGCATGAAATGTATAATATTGACCAGCAGAATTAAATGCATATCGTGTCCAGCCAACACCATACGTATTATCAACACGTTCTCCATGACGAATTATAATAAATCGAAGAATTTCATCATTTCTGTCACCAGTAGAACTATAATAGCCGGATTCATTCGATGTCAAATAAGCATTATTATACATTGATAATTGATGTTAACGAGAGTGTGATGGGCGAAAATAATCACTAAATCAAGAAAACAATTTTATCCTGAAAATGATATTGAAACAAAAAAAAAGACAAGACGAATCGTTCGATAGATGTCACTTCGAGGAAAAAAATCATTAGAAGAAAAGGGTTAGATGTGATATAGCTCTAAAAAAAAAACTTTCAGAAATAAACATTATCCATGTAAATAGTATGCAACCTTATAAAAGGCACATGTCTGTCACACAATCACAATAACATATAACTAATATACAGTCACTTGATTTTTCTATTTTCTTTTTCTTTCACTTTACTTGAGCATAAAGAAGAGAAAATGATGACGAGCAATTATAGAAGCAAGCAATCTGTAGGTGACTGTCTCATGTGTCAAAACAACACAAGCACATACAAACACACCATACATATGTATATATAAATATAAATATAAATATGGATATCGAAGACGGTAATAATATGGATGACTGATTTATGTTAATAGCTATTCTGTTGGTGGTGTGCAAGTAAAAAGAGGAAAAATAAAATTATAGTCAAAACCAATAAATCAAAAGTCACTTTTATTGAAAGAACAATCGAATATGTTTGTTATAGTTTGATTAAATAAAATGATTTTATTTTCACTAATAATCAAGAAGTATTCATAGTTGAATTTCAAAATAGAAATACTAAAACACACTATCTGAAAGTATCACTATTTATTTGAATAAATAAGATTTTAATCTTTTAATAATAACAAAAAACAAAGTAGAATGACTAAGATTCATTTCACTAAATTTATTATTAATCATTAAATCAATCTTTTAATTAGTATCTGCTGAAATTAAGTAATGCTCGTATTTTATATTGATAATAGAAATATAAACGAATATTACACAATCATCTGGATAAAGTAACTTACTCATTCTGCATTGCTGTTTTATTTTTGTGATTTATAAGGAGATACTATCTTCTGTATTCTAGTCAATAGTAACACCTGAAACAGTTTTACTAGTGTTTTTTTTCTGAATTTCAATTCACATTGTAGAACTACAATCTATAAATATTGTTCATCAATTTTCTATATTTCTGAAATGAAATTCGAGATAGATTATATCTATTCGTGAGTACGAGACTAGTTTCATAAGTGTATGAATATGATAACAACAAATATTTTCAAGAGACCACCATTCGCTAACGATGATAAAGTCAAAGAGAAATATATAAGGATTGTAGCAAATACATACGTCCATTTAGATGAATCTGTCAATAGAAAGCGAAAAAACAAAAAATAAACAAAAAATAATCTGGTCAATAATGAGATTATATCTGACAAATAAAACACAAGGACAGCAAAAAAACCATAATATATCATCAAAATTTATTCTGAGAAATAAGACGTCGATGGCAGCATCCTTGACAAAGTAATACATCATCTAATGGACAACAACGACGATCTTGCTCATTGCTCAATTGCATCGAACAATCCTAAATAGAATTTCTTATCTTTGAAATTTAAGTTATATATATATATATTTACTTCACATTGATAACATTGAACATGAAAAGTTTTACCCATCGAAATAATTCGAACAGTTTCATTGGAGCCCTAAATAATTCCGATTAAATAAATCTATATATTCAATTATATCTCACATCTTCAGGGCAAATTGGATTCGAACATTTATCACAACGTGGTCCATAAGTTCTTAAAAAAATAAATTGTTTTCTTTTGTCTTCGTTTCTATCAATAATTTCTTACACATGATAATCATGTAAACAAAAAAGATTTCGATTTTCATCTTTCACAAATGGTACACCATCCAAACAAATCGAACATTTTGAACATTTAAAACATGTTAGATGATATGATTGTCCAAGTGCTTGCACAATCTAAGATTACTTTGACTCAGAAAAAAAAACACGATATAAATTCAAATAAGCATAGCATACTGTATCAGTAATTAAGTGACCACAAGCAACACAATGTTCGAGTGTTTCATAAAAACCCGTATACTAAAATAAGACAAATTATGTCTTGTTTTTTATATAAAATAGTTTCTTACCAAAAAATCTTCTTCACAATATAATTGATCTTGTACAAAAAAATGTCGATTTCTTACAGATCGTCCACATAAAACACAAACAGCACACGAACCATGATAAATTTGACCTAGTATATTACATGGATCATCTAAACTTGCTATTGTCTCACCACATTTACAACATTCACCTAAGAAAAGAAAAGAATAGAAGAAATTTTTATTGTATCTTTATGGATCAATGCAAAATAAAAGATTATTTATTGATACGATATGCTTAATTTCTTACCGAAATACTCTCCGATAGTTGATCCATTTGTTGCTTCTTGAATAGAATGACTGTTATCAATTGAAAATGATTTAAATTGATGTTCAGGTAAATGATTATCATTAAAATCATTTCGTTTTACTGTTGATGATATAACAGGGGTTCGATAAATTGTTTTTGCTGATATAGATGAATTAAAATCAGGAATAATGATTGAATTTTTTTGATTATAAGTTGATAGATTTCTTGGTGGAATAGCAGGAGGTTGAATTGGACAACGTGGTGGTGGTGGTGGTGGTGGTGGTGGTGATGATGAATCATCTCGTAATGATGGTTGAGTTATATAAACTTGAGTTGCATTTAAATAAGTTGTACTTGTTTTCATTCCATTCGGCGAATATTGAGGTAAAACATTGGTACGACGAGTATAATTATTATTCGCTGTTGATGTTATACGTGCCATACGATTAGGTGGTGGTGTTTTTGTATCAGAAGTATGATTTTCTGATGAAAATTTAAAATAATCATCTAAATTAGTAAAAATATACGAAAAATATGTTACAAATTAGTCATTCTCTATTGAAACTTGAAGATAAAGAGAAATGTAACTAGATAGGATTGTTTTACTTGTTAATGGTTGTTGTCTTTCATGATAAGTTGAATCATTCAATGTTGATGATGAATGAAATAATGATTTGGAATATTGTTGATTACTTAAAGGTTTCTTCAAGCTACTTTCTTCATAGGATAGTAATGGGTCGTTCGGCCTTGCTGATGATTGCCGTGCTGATGGTGTCTCTTTAAGAGCATTTGTTATATCAAGTCGTGATGATGACGGTGGAACAGCAGAATAAAATGTTTGCTGTTTACCCGAAATGAAGTTCCGATTGTCAAAAGTGTGTGCCATCTAAAAGCATATAATAGTATATGTGTGTGCGTGTATGTGTTCTTTTTTCGCCTTCTATTACCACATATGCCAACACATATTTTACCTGTATACAAAACAACGAAAGAAGAAAAAGAAAGAAAAAACTTTGTTTTTGTTGAAAATATTTGACACAAAAAAAAAAGAAAAAGGCAACGATTTTCGTTTAAATAAATCAATGAAATGAATTAAAGCGATAAAACAGAATGTAAATTAAATATATTTGCTCGTTCTTCAATCGATAGATGAGTTGAAATTAGAATGTTATTTTTCTTTTTCTTCTTCTTTTTCTTTGAACTCTTTTTTCTTCTTCCCACACGCTGTTTTAATCGTAAAATGCCAAACAAAACGCATGACTATAAAACGAAAGAACGTAAAGACAGTTTTTTTTTCTTTTCACAAGCATTAATCAACAGTGATATCAAACTGTGCGCATGTTGAGATAGAAGTAGACTAAATATGATCGACTTGAATTTCAAATTTGCACTTAATATTTATTTAAATAGAATAAGCAAAATGTCAAACAAATGAATCATGTTAGATAATGTTATCTAATATGATAGGATGTATTTTGTCATTTTCATCTATTACTAAGAATTATTCACCTCCTCTACAAATAATTTGTTATGCGATAGATTACAGAAAAGAAATAATGTTTTTCACAAAAAAACCCTTATGAGAATTCAATAAGATAACCAAAATACATATTTTAATTAACAAACACAGCGACTGTAAGTGATTATCCAGGATATAGATTATTCATTTTTGAACACTTTTTTGTGACGAGCATGATATTCTGTAAACAACTTCTAAGTAATTAAATTTTCTTATGGTTCATTCAAAACTCAATATTATTTTGCCTGTTTATCGAAATTAAGAAATATTGTTAATGATGAACTAAATAACCATTGTGATCTTTACCAGCACATCCTGTGTGAATATATAAGATTAGCATAGTACAAAATAATAATTTTTTAGGTGAAATATTTTTCCTTTTTATGAGTTCTAATCCAATCATAGAGGTATTTTGCAGTACATATGATGAAAATTTTGATTTCTTTTAAAAATAGCTAGTGTTCTTTCTCTTCGATACCATCATACAATTAGATAATTCAATCATATGTTTCTTCCACATCAGATCGCAATTAATGATTAATATATGTAAAATTTGTTTACAGTAGCTTTGCTTAGTAAGGATATTCTTGAATTGTCAAACTCTAAATCTAGCGCATAATGACGTGTGAAATATTGATGACTCAGTTAAATATTTGATAATATTTCAAAGATCCTCTACTGGTTTCTTGACATGTTAGCACCAAACAATACAATACATGGGATACTGATAGAACTTCTTCAGTTAGAAAATGCTTTTGACGACATCTACTGTATTATTTTCTTCTTTTATATATTATCATGTATTCAAGTCTATATGACAGCCCTTTCTATGTTGGCTTTTTTTCTTATCTTCTATATTACTACATATCTCAAACCACGTGCGAAATTACCCAATATTATTGATCTAATTACTTTGTTTATTCATGAGATGACTCACTCTAACCGATACCCGATAAATAAAATATGCTAGTGATAGTTATTAACGTTTTTTATTTTTTCTACTATCACGAAAACAAAAAATGGCCACTATTACATTTGATGTAGCTAAAGTTGACATATGTACGATAAAACATACTACAGCTGAATATTTAATTGAATCAGATTTAGCTCGATGGACACTAAAAGATCAAAAGTTATCACTTGAAAACTTTCAAATCAATCATCCATTAGCTGCTGATCTTAATGGAGATCATCATCGAATTGCAAATGCTTTCGTCGCATCTGCATTCAAAGCTTATTGTGAACACTATCCATTTGAATTAAGTGTTGAAGATATTTGGATTGTTATTGCACAAGGTATTAGTATTCATCTCAATGAAAATGCTGAAAAGTATCGAGAGTTAATGGTATCACATGAAGGAAAAAAACATTGAACCTTGCAGTAGATAGTCTTCGAGTGCCGGATTCTTCTAGACCAAAATATGGAAATAAATCTGTACCTGCTATTGATTGGTCAGCAGCTGTTCGACAAATGGGTCAATTGATTAGAAGTGACATGAGAATAGATTTAGCTACACTTTTGACAACTCCTTTTTCGAGTACAACATCAATCGAATAAGCTGTTTTCGATTGCACATTAATGGATAGTGTTAAATCCTATTATGATTTTCGATTTTCTCTACGCTGTGGTCTTCCACAAGTAACATTACGTGGTTCACCAGAAGATTTTCAACAAGTTATTAATCGAGTTAATCAATTCCGAACTATTTTTCTTGATTTTCATTGGTGGTTAGATGCACTTTTACCTCATTTACAACGATTAAAAGTAAGTGCTGAAGGAGAACCTGATATTGATTGGTGGCAAAAAATCTGCCATAGTGTTGGAGGCGGATCTGATATAAGTATGTTAGCTGTATGGCTTGCTGATTTTATTCCGTAAGCTCAGAGTGCTATTAAAAATACCTTTTGAATTTATTGTTATTAATTTTTCAGATATATTTCAGATGGAAAAGGTCATTATAAAAAAGCTCAGCGCGATCATCATCACCGTACACAAGTACATATATTATTTATTATTAAATAATTATTTTATTTTATTTATTTTAAGGGTTTAATCAATGGTATTGACTTTGATGATTTGAGTGAAAGTGTTACTCAGACAGATTTTATTTTGGATGATAATGGACATGAAACTAAGATGAAATTAATTGCAGGATTTTTAGGTATTGGTCAAAATGATAAGACAGGTGCACTTCGTCCGTGTCTTGGTTGGATAACAGCATTGCCGGAATAGCAAGCATCTGCTCATGATCCTCAAATTATAAAAATCATTTATTAAAAACATCTAAGATATTTGCTATTCTTTTTATTTTCTATATTTATTTTTGTAGGCTATATATTAATAAAAAAAAAATACATCATTTTTAATCTTTTATTGTTTGTTCAAATAATGCTTTACCAATATCTTCAGGATTAAATAATTCTGTACGCATTTCTCTTCCATTACCCCAATCATAAAAATTTGGTGCAATAAGTTGTAAATGTTGGTCATCACTACCTAATGGTGATGGTCGATGATAATTTCCATAAATGCGAACAGTTGTTTGTGGACCAAGTTCATAAACAGGAAATTTATAATCAATACGACGACCATCAACTGTTCTTTCAATATACCATCCAGTTAAATCTCGTGGTTGATTACCTGTATTTTCTATTTCAACAAACCGACCATTGACATCAACAAATTTAATAAGAATATTTCCTAAAGAGAAAGTTTTACAAGAATAAACTATGAAAAAAAAGATTTTTTTTCGTTTTGTTTTACCTTTATATTTTCGTGTAATATGAACTCTACTTTGCAAAAATTTTTCATCAACTTCTGGTATAGCCGAAGTTACTTCTTGTTCTCTTCGATTTATATTAATGCCTGTTGATTGTTGCCCAGTAGAACCATGACCAAAACGTCGTGTTGTTCGTTTTGTTGTTGTTGTTGTTCGGTTTTGGTCGAGTAAACTTTGTTGTACACCATATCGATCAGCATCTGTTCGACTTGGAATAATTGTTCTTTCAGTTGATCGATCACGATCAGTACTTTCACTACGTATTGATGATGTAGTAGCTGATGAAACAGTTTCATAAGTCCAATTATTGCTTGGTTTTTCTGCCTATATTTGAAAAATAAAAGTAAAATTTTATTTCAGTTTTTATTCTAATTTCACTTCATCTATTCGAATAGTTGGAATCGTATTATCATTTTGTTGTTTTATTGTTTTTGTGGTTGTTACTGTTGTATCTGTTAATAATGGTTGTGGTGGTGGTCGATATTTTGTTGAATCATCAATATCTGTTAACGTTGTAAATTTTCTTGTTGTTTCAGATAGATCAGATTGTGATCGTGGAAATCCTGCTGATTCTCCTCCACTACTAATTGTATCAAAATATCGTTTTGTCGTTGTCGTTGTTGTTGTTGGTTGACGGTATTTTGAATCATCAATAGCGAGGCGTTCTTCTTTTTTTCTATGTAATGAATTTAATAAAGCTTCATAAACTTTTAATTCTTCTTCAACACTAAATCGAAGTGTATAAGCTAATTTATCTAATTCATCTTTTAATGTATAATATTCTGCACGTGTTAAATCAGTATCATGTTCAAGACGGGCATGTTGCTCAGCATGTTTTCGTGCTTTATTTCTTAATTCATTTTCAAGATCTTGTAATGCTCGTCGTTTATGTTGAATTTCTTCAGCTAAAATTCGATAATCATTTTGTAGACGATCATTTTCTTTTGTATTTTCATCAAGACGGCTTTCAAAACGTTGAGTTTCTTCACGACGACGTCGTTCATCTAGAAAAAGAAATAAATAAATAAATAATAAAGAAAGAAAGAAAGAACATGAATCAAATTCTTAGTTTAACCATTTTCATCGATTGGTAAACCCATATCAATTTTATCTTGAATTTCTTTTAATCTTGCTTTTAATTGTACTTCAACATCCATTTGTTGTTCTTTCGCCATTTGTTCATAATCAATTTGTATTTTTTGCTTAATTGTGTCTAAATAATCTCGATAATAATTTTTTGATTCTTGTGATATACGATTTAATAAACGTTGCCATTCATTAATTTCTTCTTGATTATAAGCTAAACGTAAATTATAACGTTCTTTAAGTGATTGAATTTCATTTAATAAATTTTGTTTATCTAATGCAAGTTGTGACCATTCAGATAAATATGAACGAAATTTTTCTAATTCTTTTTGATAATCATCATCATGAGATTTAACTTGAGCATTACTTATATCAAGACGTAAACGAATTTTACGTAATTCTTCTTCTAATTCATTTGTTAAATCGAAAAGTATTTGAGATTTATCTCGATATAAATTAAGCACATCAATAAAAACAGCTGTAACACGATCTATTAATTGAGTTTGTTCATCAAAAATTTTTGCTTGAGCATGAAAAATTATTTTATGACGATTTTGTTCACCTAAACGTCGTATGATTTCATCAAGTTCTTGTAAAAATCGGACACGATTTTCTCCACCAATACCCCAATTTGTTATTAATAAATTAAGATCATCACGTAATTTTTTATTAGCTATTTCAAGATCGTTTAAATCATGAAGTAATTCTTCAAGACGATTATTTAATGAATGAAGATAAAGTTTTTCATCTTCATCTTGCCGTTTTATAGCTGCTACATCATTAAGAACTTGTCCTACTGACTGTGTATCATCATGAATTTGACGACTTGTTGCAGCACGAGTTGATAGTTCAGTTGTATACCGTTGTATCAACGCCATAGTCAATCGATCGTATTCATTCAATATACATTCATCTCATGTTCTTTGAAAATGTATTTATAGTCTCATAATACATTCACAACCGCAAGACTTATCATAGTCAATATCGATTCCTCAATCAAATCTACATTTGTTATTCATTGATTTTTAATCATGTTTCTTTTTGTAGACTCCTTCATAACCATGAAAAAAAAAATAACCTAGCCATCATTCATATTCTTCATGGCCATGTCCTTCAACTCTGTGATTTTTCTTAAGCATAGAAAAGAATATGTGTGAATAAATTTTTTGTTCCTAGGGAATAGAAAATGTCGATAACAATGACAATAGTAAATTTTTAAAAAAATTCAACAATAAATGATAACAAGATGGCACGCAAAGAAAAACGTCACACATTTTGTTCTTTTTCTTTTTTTGTTTTTATTCATTCTTATTTTTTTAATCATCATTGTTTACATGCATTCATCACCATGTCCACCTTTCTTTTCTTCTTTATCAAGTTTAATCATATCATCAATACGTAAAATAGTTATAGCTGCTTCAGTTGCATATTTTAATGATTTTATTTTTGATATAGCCGGTTCAAATACTCCACTTGATTTGCAATCACGAACTTTTCCTGTTTGAAGATCTAAACCAAACCATTTAAGTTGTTCTTTATCCTTTTGTGTTTGTGATGCATTATGATAAGCACGAAGTTTAGCTACAAGTTCCGTTGCATCTTGTGCAGCATTAACACTTAATGCTTTCGGAATTGATAAAAGTGCTGATGCAAATTCAGCAATAGCTAATTGTTCACGTGAACTCTAGAAAAAATAAAATATATTTCTTTCATTTAAAAAGATTAAATCAAATACATACAACTGTCGTAGCAAAATTTTCTAAATAAATTGATAATGCTGCTTCACAGCAACCACCACCTGGTACAACTTGTTTTGATTCAAGTACACGTTTAACAACACATAATGCATCATGTACAGAACGTTCAATTTCATCACACATGAAATCATTTGCACCACGTATTATTATTGATGCAGCTGTACGTGCTTTTGGTCCTCGAATAAGAATAAGTTCATCATCACAAATACGTTCTTGAACAACTTCATCAGCACTACCAATTACTGATGCATCAACTGATTCTTCACCTTCCATATTAGCTAAAGCCGTTAATAATGTTGCTACAAAAAATAACATTATAAACAATATGAATTTCTATTGTTTCGTTTACCTCCTGTTGCTTTAGCAATACGTTTTAAATCGGCTTTTTTACAACGTCTAACAGCCATAGCTCCAGCTTCAACAAATTGTTTTAAACAAAGATCATCAATACCACCTGTTGTTAATATAACATTTGCTCCAGCATTAAGTAATTTTGCAACACGTTCTTTAGCAATGTCAGTTTCTCTAAAGAATATTTTATATTATTTTTGTTTTTAAATCATATGAAAAGAAAAACAAGTATTCAAACCTTCTTCGAATAGCTTCAAGTTTTTCAGGATCTTCAACGACAATTTGAACACCTAATTTCATTCGTACTTTTTGTAAACTAAAATCCAAACATGCTATTTTAGCATTTGCTATTCGTTTTGTCATTAATTGTGAAGCAACTGTACAATTTAATGCATAACCAGATATTAAAATACTTTCATGTGTTGATCGACCATGAGCTTTTAATACATTTACAGATTTTATTGGTACAATTATTTTATCTTTTTCATTAAATTTAACAAGATTTGCTGCATCAACACACATCTTAGCAAAGAAATCCGCATCCCTAAACACAAAAAAAAATTAAAACAAATAACAAAAGTTTTTATTAATGAAATAAGAAAACAAAACAACATACATTCCAATAACTTTACTAGCCATTGATGTTTTAGCAACATTAATTAAGCATTCACTACCTAATTCATCAACATTAATAATCATTTTATCATGAATATATTTTACTGCTAATCTAAAAGAAAAGTCATTGATTTTCATAAATAAAAATAATATAAAAAAATTTCTTACTTGCAAGCAAGTTTATAACCACTAATAACCGATGTTGGATGAATTTTTTGTTTAACAAGTTGATCAGCATTTTTTAATAATTCCGCAGCGATGATTACCTTTAAAAAATTGTTTAATTTTTCTTAAATATGATATGAAAAATATGTAAACTCACTACACTAGTTGTACCATCACCAACTTCTTGATCTTGTAATTGAGCCAATTCAACAAGTACTTTTGCAGCTGGATGTTCAACCTCAAGTAATTTAAGAATCGTTGCACCATCATTGGTAATAGTTACATCCTAAATTAGATGTATTTTCATTTCAATAGATATGCTAAGACAAGAAAAACTTACTCCAATATCATCGACAAGCATTTTATCGAGACCAAGTGGACCTAATGATGTTCGAACAATGTTCGCAATAGTCATAGCAGCAAGAACTATTAATTAAACAAGAAAAATATTATTATAATATTTTTATTAAATTAACTAA